TGACAGGTTCTGGTTCAGATGATTGGATTTATTAGCACTTTGGTTACACACTCTCTTAATTACACTTAACTACAGCACTATGCTGATTTACACACTCACTGGTCGTCTCCTAGTACAATTGAAACGCAGGAACTCTAAAGCCACACTAAAGTACACACTCCCAATCCCACTGCACTATAGCACACATAAAGTCTTCAGTTCACAAGTTAACTCTTCTTCAAATAAGAACTTCTCATGGCTGTCTCCTACTGAGAACTCAGAACTCTGTCAGTTAGTAGTTCCAATTTGCTCGCTTACATGCTTCCACCACTACTATTTCTCTCTCCTACAATGATCTCAGAACTCTGTCACTCACTTATATAGCCGAGGGACCAACATTAGACAACAGTAAACACATATCACATGGCCCCTACCCACTGTCGCTGTGTTACGTCACCACATATGTGCAGCTGATGGATATGCAGGAAACACATCATGTGATGTTGATGTGTGATGTCACCAATCCTACACCAACTGCCGGACACACAGAAAACACAGCTTGCTCTACTGTTGTGGGCGTGTATTGTGTTTACAGAGCTCTTGCCTGGCAACATGTTGATCAAATATGCCGCAATATTAACATGAGATATGTAGGACTAGAGGTAGCCCTAATGAGTTCTATGTGGAACTCCTTTTACTAAACCTGACTAGTTTTATGGTTACACCAAACTCACTTATAATGTAGAATTTTCCCTCCTGAAGAAGGCTTTAATTTTATGCTCACTGCTGGCCTCCATTAATTTGCCTGTGATGAATGGGCTAGAATATTTCACCTTAACATTTATATTACAAATTCACAAGAAATCTGGTGTGGCTAATAGGGAAATCTGTTATTACTATAGTTACAAAGACCCAAGCATTTTTGTAGCTTTGAAACCTGTTAGGTAATGGGTATGTTAACAATCCAAGGATGAATGTAAAAGTAATTTATATTTTCAGCATTGATGGTTTAATTTATTCTATAGAAGCCTGTCTAATGCCCTTTGTCATTCAGTACTCACATTCAAGAAGCAAGTGGTTGTGTAGCCTTTAGATAGTTATGTATTTGCAAACAGAACACACAAGCAGAGTCAAGAATCAGTGATAGAAAGTTTTGTTAACTTCCTGAATATAAATTCTTGTTTTACTGACTTAGATTTTATTTATATTTAAAGCAAATTTTCTTTGACTCATGTATGTTATTAATATAGCATAATCAAAGTGATTTGAATAGATCATAGGATCAGGTATTGCATTTAAATAAGCTGTCCCTGTAGTAGTTACATTAAATCACCTATTTGGATAATATAATCTTATACAGAAGAAAATTATTTTGTTGCATACTTCAGCTTGTATTAAAAGTCTTTAAAATTCTTATTTTTTTAAGCTAAAAATTTATGGAAACGGCTGTGTAACCCTCTCCTCAGGTGGGACAGTTTTCTTTACAATTGAATGAGAGAGGGGACCTGGAATACATATACTATGTGATTATAATGGAATGTCAAGTAACCATTCCTTCTGGTCACACATAACCTGTTAGCTATACTGTCATTGATTCATACTGATGTGTGGTAATTAAAATCCAGTATAATTTGCCTTATGATGCCATCTTCCTAATTCTTACAAGGAAGTTAAAGAGTTCTGTAATAATGTAATACAGTGACAGATGGAATATTGCATATATGCAATAAAATAAGAGTATTCCTTTCATACATTTAAGTCTTCTGTGGCAGGTGTTGAAATGAAATAGGGACCTTTTTATATACAGGTATCAAATATTGATATAAGGATGTACAAATGTTGATTTTAGTATAGAATATTTAGATAGATCTAGTTCAGTCACATGTGACTTTTTCAGCTTTCTGTGAAGTATCTTTACCCATTTTAGGCAACTTAACCATGTGGATTCCTAATTGGTTCTGCGTTCATCCTCATTTCCTATTTAATGACAGTTTTATTTTTAATGTAGATGGAAAAATTACTTGAGCTGGAAAAAAAAAGTCCTTGAAGTCATGGTATTGTAGCGTGTAGAGCCATTACTATGCAACAACCGTCAGATAAGAAAAACATACAAGAGCCGTTTCTAGGCAACATCTTGTTAAACGTGTTCCCACAGCAACAGAGGAATGGTGTTTCCTATGTGGTCTTTGCTGAGATCTTATAACCGGCATGGTTGGAGCAACTAGTTAGTTGCAAGAGTGCTCAGTTGAAATTCCTGCTGTGATAGAGAAGACTTTATGTGTGATATATGAAGTGTTTAATTCAGTGAGACTGTTATACTTCCTGCATTAAAATCCATTGCCAGGTAACGGCTAATGGAGACTCTAATAGAGTGAGGACATTAGTCTTTTTGTATCAGTGATCTGTAAAGTGTAGTCATGGGTCATGATTGTGTGAGTGGTCAATAAATTGAGTCACCAATCCAAACCCCATCTATAGCCACTGATACATGTGACAGGGTTGGATTGGAAAGTGCATTGGGTTGTATCATCAGACTACAGAAAAGTAACATGATGGAATGCCTGCTGGCCAAGATACCTGCCATGCAGAAAAAGGTGGTCTCTCACAATGAGGAGGTAATGGCAGAAATCAGGGCCTGGTGAAAAGAGAATGGTCTGTCAAGAAGCAACGGATGCATGTCTGGAGAGGAAGGAGCCAATCTCTGCGGAGATAGAGTCCCGAAAGAACTTTTGGAGCACTGAAGAAGCGGCATGGGGACTGGGATCTAGCTGTAGGGCGCTGTCAAAAGCTGAAGAAACAACCTAGGGTGATGGTGGGTCATGGAAGAAGTTGGTCATTGCCTGCAGAGGGATGACTTACCATGCCATGCCTGCATTGCATAAGGAATACTGTTATGGGGAACAAGGTAAGGACAAGGCTGTACAAAGAACCCTGAAAGGATGAACATTTGTGAAGAGACATTGGCAAATCCAAGAAGAAACAACAGCATAAGGGACCAAGGTGCAAGATGGCAGCTACATCTGAGGAAGGAGACATCAACTGGCAGCGGCATCAGAGAACAAAGCAGGAGACAGGAGCCACTTCATGGAAGCAAGGAGGCATTTTGTGAGGCCCACAGGCAAATGTGAGTTGGAGGTCACGAAGCAGATAGTCTGAACTTCCATTAGACTGCAAAAAATGAGTGTCAGGACGTTGTGGAGGGGTCGGCCCCCTGTGAAACAAAAGAAGAGAATGCACACAGAATGAGACCAGGAGATGTAGGAGCATTGACCATTTTTGGATCTTTTACCTGCACCAGGCAGAAAAGGATGATGGTACACCTGGACCATCTGGCACCTTATATGAGGGAACCGCTTTGGATGAGTGGCCTTAAGGAGAGAGCAGTAGGAGCATTTGAAGAATAATTTCCATGGGAACTGAACAGTGGGGAAGGAAGGCAAGACCAATCACAGATGTCACAAGTATAGCCCTCATAAAAGAAGAAATGATGGTACGTGTGTAGGCTATTCAGGACGACCCACCATGCCTTTCTTGCACAGGGTAAGGGATACTGTTGTCAAGAACAAGGCTGTACCAAGAACCCAGAAAGAGACATCAGACAAAACTAGAAGGCATCAGTTGAAGACTTAAATAAGCAACTACATCTGAGGAAGGAGAAAATCTGTAGGGAGACCCTAGTGCTGGAGATCATAAGAGAGAATAGCCAGATATTCTGTCAGGGTTAAAAAAATGAGGGTCAGGACATTGTGGAGGGGTTGGCCCCCTCCAAAACAAAAAAGGGGGGCTAATAATAGCTTGGTAGCCAGAGATGTAGGAGCATTGACTGCTCTTGGAACTTTGCCAGCACCGATCAGAGGATGATTAGGAGCATTGACCACTATTGGAACGTTTGCCAGTACCAACCAGAGGAAGATGATGGTGATAAACCTGAACCAATTGGCGCCCTATGAGGGAACTGCGTGTGAAGAGTGGCCTTAAAGAGGGAGCAGCAGGAGGAGTTGCAGAATAAACCATGAAAACTGAGCCACAGGGAGGAAGGTGAGACCAAGCACGAATGTCACAATCTCAAAGAATGAAATGGCACTATGCCAGTAGGCCATTTGGGACGAACAGCCTGAAGGAGGGAACAATGTAGCATGTAGAGCCATTACTTTGCAACAACAAGATAAGCAAATATACCACAGCTGTTTCTAGGCAACGGCTCAGTAAACATGTTCCTGCAGCAACAGACATGAATGCAGCAATGGTATAGCAACAAAGGTATGGTGTCTTCTGTGTGGGCCATGCCGAGATTGTACAACTGGGACAGTTTAGAGCAACCAGTTAGTTACAAACATGCCCAGTTGAAAGTTGACTTTAAAGTAGTAATATCACTGCTTGCTTCAGCATGCTACATATTTAAAAGTTACAAAATGAATTTGCAAAATAACTTCTGTTACTGTTAAGTCAAACAAAGCATAATTACCATGCTTCATGAAATGAAGAAGAAAGTTACACGAGTGAGTAATTTAAAGGCTAGAAAACTGAAAGTATGTGTCAGAGGAAAAATACACATGCATATAGCTTGCAGATAATTGAACACGATGATGGTAAGATTACTTTTTTTGATGGTCAGATTAGGCATGCTGGGTCCAAATGCTGTAATCATTGCTGAGCAATTGTACATTTCTCTAGCTCTTATTTCAATGTGTAAGATGTACTGATATTGTCACTTATATGTGTGATTGTTGACAGGGTTTCAATTGGATATTGGATTTATTGATCGCTTAAACACACCACTTAGAACTACACATAGTTACAGTGCTGTAACTAATCTCCACACTTCACAAAACACAGCAGCACCAGCTAAGCCTTTTCCAGCCTGCTGTGTCTTCAGCTTCCCATGCTCACATCATTACTGTCCAGCAAATATCCCACAACTGAACTTTCATCAAGTGTCCAGCTGTAGTGCCATCTCTTCTCAGTCTTTCACTAGACAGCACGGACCATATAGAAAACACCTTTTGTTGTATGTGTGTATGTTGCGGGCGTTACCTAGCAATGGCCGCTGTTTACAGAGTCATGCTTAGCAGTGGGTTTGTACGCCACAATATAATATTGCAAATTGCAATATTTTTTTCAGATCCTGTACTGTTTTTTTATCATTGAAGATGGCTTGATTGATTGTTTGAGAAGTATATTGGCTGGAGGAACCTGTGTAAATAAAACATTTGGCATTATTATTCTTTCATGCTCTGTGACTCATTGTACTGAAAAGTGCTCAAACCATTCCACAAATTTGATTATACTCACATATAACAGTATTTGACAGATCTGAAAATATTTTAATACGAGTGCCTGTACATGTAGGATTCTGGTGGGAAAGCCAGAACTAAAGAAACTACTAGGAAGACCTAGACATAAGTTGGATGATAATATTAAAATGGACCTTAGATAAATAGGATGAGGTGGTGTGGACCGATTGAACTGGCTTGGGGTAGGGACCAGTGGAGGGCTCTTGTGAACATGGTAATGAATCTTCAGGTTCCATAAAATGTTCAGAAGTTCTTGAGTAGCTGTATCAGTTTGTCAAAAAGGACTCAGCTCCATGTAGGTAATTAGATAGTTATCTGTTACCACTGTATTATATGGTGTATCACAGGGATGCTCTCTGATACAACTACCAATAATTATTTAACCATCCACCCTCTATTATCCTGCTAACATGTTAGTGATTACATGAATATTCTCCCATAAAATTTGTTGACAAAACTATTATTAGAAATATTACATGTGTGATTCCTCATAAAGCTGTTCACATATTTTTAAAATCTTAACATGAACTTTCTACAGGATTTTTATTATCCATGACATCTGTATCTTCCTTTGTACTCCTATACTTTATTCTGACATTTTTTCCCCATTGTTATCTGCTTTGTATAGTTCCATTCAGGCTTTTCTGTAACAGAATTAATGGTATCAGCCACACTGCGCTATTTAATAAAATGTCTTTATTATGCCAACAGGAAAGAGACCACAGAGAAGACCAGGGCATAGGTGGGTGGACAATATTAGAATGGATCTTAGAGATAGGATTGGATAGATCTGGCTCAGGATAGGGAACAGTGGAGGGCTCTTGTGAACACAGTAATGAACCTTAAGGTTCCATAAAATGCTGGGAAATTCTTGAGTAGCTGCAGAATTGGCAGCTCCTCCAGAAGGGCTCAGCTCCATGAGTAAGCAAGCAAGTATCTTTCCCCATACTTATTCAGATTGGTCACTGTTAGTGTGTTTCCATACATTTCTTCTTGCAACTGAAGTGTTTCTAACCAACCAGTTCCTATGTAGTATTTCCCAGTGTACATGCTGCTCCAAAAGTATTATGCCTTGCTGTCATTACGATGTGTATTTGCCAACAGACTTCATGACTGCCCATACTGAATGTTTGAAAATATATCCCCTTACTCCTAATTTTTGGGAGGTTTATAAATGCTTCGGTAAGGAATGGCATACCAAAGGGTTCACAGTTTCTCTAGCTCCAACAGATCTTTATCTCGGCATTATATCAAATTCTCAGAGATGGGAGAAAGAAAAATTACAAAGTGATAAAGAAAAGGAACAACTGTTAAAATTTCTAGCAAAGGGTAAGTTTACTAATAACTGGAGAGGAACCTGTCCCTACTAAAACCTTATCCAGAATTCTAAGTACTATAATGATGCTGGTAAGACATTACAACATACAGCAGAAATGACAGATCACTACAGGATCAGTATAAAGGTAAAGGACAAAACATCCATTATGCCAAAACACACTTCTGAGATTGTGTATGAATGAATGTACGAGTATAAGGGGTGGGCCTTCTTGGCTCTTGCACTGAGACCACAGTGATCTATTGTGCCTACCCTTCTGATGAGATTGTGTATATGGGCATGGAGCACATTACAGACTTTACACCGGATGGAGGAAAAATAGTTTGCTTCTTGCTGCAACCACTTTAAGAATTATCTAAAGGGAAATGGAGCCTAGTACTTTTGGATTATAGGCTAATAATGCACTTTACACACACAAATTCTTCATTATTGTATTTATATTACAGACAGATATAGCATATTCCATATAAAATCACTCACCTACTGCATTATGAACGATTAGCCCAGTTGGAAATAGTTTGATATTGTTTTTGGAGAAGTCTTTAGCACTCCTTAATGAAAACAGGAATCACAATAAAGTATTTCACTACATGCAATAATAGGAACATTTTATGTACTTGGAATTCATGTATCAAGTACTCCCTCTAAGAATGCAAGGCAGTCTGCAGACTCTATTGCATTGTCAACATCCTTCTTCTGAAGTGTTCTCCGTTTGCCTTGGGTTGTGTATGTGTAGGCTTCCTTGGCAAGTGATTCAATGAATAGCTCCTGGAACACATCAAAAGGAAGTACAACTGAAAAATACATTCCCTGTCATGCATTTAGTCTATGAATTAGAAACCACTACGAGCAAAGAGCCATACTATCATGCTGGACTTGGAATAAGCTTCTCAAAAATGATCTGTGAGAATCTTGTGTATATAAGTATCTTCAGAATTTCAAGATTGACACATCCCTCTGTTAATCACTTTAGCTGTGCTATTTTTCTTGTAGAATTAACAATGGAATAAATTATACTATATTAAGCAAGTTCTTCCACTGCATGCAAAGATAACTGCCACAGCACAGACTTTTAGGAACTTTTTTATACATAACAATAAAGTGACATACACTCCATTAGAGCAACTACGTGGAAACATACACATTAATGAGTCATGTAAAAATGATAAAACCACATCGATATTCATAGGGCTAAACAGAACAACGCCGGTCACGGTAGCTGAGCGGTCTAAGGCGTGCACTGTCTTCGCTCACTCGGAAGCCGGGATCATGGGTTCAAATCCCACTCAGGGCATGGATGTTTGTGTGCGTTTTTCTGTGTTTGTATACATGTAGAGGCCTTGCGACGAGCTGATCACCCGCCCAAGTTGACCTGTCCAGCAAGGGAGGCCCTGCCAGTAGCTACGCTACCGCTGGTATAGCTCTCAGGGTCGTTGGCATACTCAAACCCCCTCACCACGATAAGGTGGAGACACCAACGAGGGGGAGTCCTACCGTCTAGGATCTGGAAAAACCGAAGTGAACGGAGAAGTTCATGGAGGTAGGCCTAGGCCCACTGGGGCTGTAGTGCCAAGGAAAAAAAACAGAACAACACAATAAATACAGACGCCACAAGAAAAGATAAAGGGTGATGTTTTCAGGCAAATTGTTTTTTAATGTGGACGAAAATGCAGTAACATTCGAATATTTTAACTTAAGAACTAATGCAGTGTACCAGTTTCAAGAAATGAATAGTTGCCTGCGGATGGCCAAGTAAGGCCGAAGCATGTAGCAGTTTAATTGTAATTTTAACATTGTTTTAAGTTAAGGATAGGTTGTAAACAGAGTTCCATTACAGACGTAACTGTGTAAAGTGAGTAATATGTTAATTGCCGCGGTTTTAAAGTGGTGAAACAGTGCCCAATACTCACCGTTGATTTCGTAATAAGGAATACTGCTTCTTGGCTAGCGAAATGAACATCTGGGTCGATTTTCATTATGTGTTTCACTCTTGCAAGAGGCAATCTCAAAATCCTTTCTGATTTTTCCTCTTCGTGTTCAGTTTCTTCTTGAGCACTTCCCACCTCTTTACCAGACGCATGATCCTTCCAATTATTTCCTGCAAGATCATCCGTATGATCCGTATTGTCAGTGCCTTCCGTACCTTCCATCATCACCTAACCTACGAATCGCTACGAACCCTGCGACAAATCGTGACAGATTAACCGCCATATGATTATATTCGATTATCACCACGGATTACTAAACACCTAAGGACTACCACCTACATAGTAATCCATGGCAACAAAGTGTGCGAGAAGGGGGCAAATATGCATTAGCGACCTTAGCGACGTTAGCGACACTTAAATGGGCTTGAGCGGCTTGAGGATCACAGTGGTTGCCGTGGTGGCTATGAGACGTTCTGTCTTACTGCATAAAGTCATGTCATGTAGTTCGGTGAAAGTCGACTGACGTCTCGGAGGTATTCCTTCCTCACTGGCCCTGTAGCTGTATTCAGTCTCTTCTTTCGTTTCGGTGGAGGCCGGCTCCTCTGTATGTCGTGACCGTCGTGACACTAATTTTTCGAATCCTGGCGGAAGAATCGACTGCTTGTTTCGCGACCTCCAGTCCGATGATTTATTCGAGTGCCTCATAAAACGCTTCCTCGCGCGCCTCACGCAAGTCCTGTCACAGGCCTCTGTCCCTTGCGCCAATGATTCGTTAAGTCGCACCCGATGTCTAGTCTCGAACGTCTGTCCTTTAGTGATTCCGCGTAAATATTTTTTGCCTGGTCCCTGACAACCGTGTCTCTTGCGCGGTGCAGGAACGACACGGCTGGTCATCCGTCTGTGGGCGGCGGCCAACTTCTTCCCGGACCCACCATCCCCTTGGGCCCGTTTCTTCGGCTATCGGCGGCCCCCTTTGGCTTAATTTTGGTCCCCATATCGGTCCTTCAGAGCTCCGACAGTCTATACTGCAGTTTCTTCGTTGGATTCCTAAGGATGCGCCGTAACGCTTGCCATCCTGACCGTTGTCTTTCTTAGAGAAACCTACATTTCTTCTAGCCAGGCATCCGCATTTTCTAGACAGGCATCTATCTTGGCCTCTTTGGTCGGTGTCCATCCTGGCTTGGTTGTCTCGTATTTCAGCCTTCATTTGTTCTTGGTCGGCTTTTATTTCAGCCAGCATGAGTTCCATTATTTGTTCCATCTTCGTAGTGTGGCGATAAAAGTCTCCGCTGCAGTCTTTAACCCAATTAGTTGATCAATCCAATCCAAATTTGACACCAGTTGTCACGATTTTAGAGTGACTATAGACGAGGTTTGGTATGGTAATCTGATATATTGAACATTTACAAAACGTAACTGCAAATAAATGGGGCACGCGGTAGCATAATTAGTTGAGGCACTATGCTAGAATCCGGAAGGTCGTGGGATCGAATCCCGATGAGGTCACTGGATTTATCAATTGACCTAATTCTTCCAGCCGCACTGTGACCATTGGGTCGACTCAACTTCTAAAAAAATTAATACCAGGAATCTTCCGGGGGGGGGGGTAAAGGGCGGTCGGCACGTAAGGCTGACAAACTTGCCGTCTGTCTGACTAGAAGATGTGGGAGCTTTGACCTCTCACACCCCTATAGGCCTTCAAGGCCTTCACCTTTATTTTTAACTGCATATAACTACGACAGCCTAACTGAGTTACACACTTCAAAGATCACTATTTCTACAGCACATATAAAGTTTTCTCATTTTGCTGTCTTCAGTAGTTGTTGCCTACTGATGGATCCGAACAACGTACTCTCCTGTCGTGCTCACGTGCTTAACGGCTTGCGACTGTCTCACAACCGCTCACAACTAACTCGTTGCTCCAGCTGTTCTACTTATAACATCTCCGCAAGGGCCACACAAAAACACCGTTCCTTTGTTGCTGTAGGAACATGTTTGTTTGCGTAGCCGTTGCAAAGTAACGGCTGTTGTATATTCGCTTATCTCTTGCTTGTTGCCCAGTAATGTGTCTACATGCCACAATATCATTGTCACAAACTTTTACGTCGCCAACGGGTCCAAATGCCACGATATCATCGTCGCAAACTTTTACGTCGTAGTGCTATAATAGTTTACTTTCTTACCGACAGAGCTCATGGAAATGGCGATGGTCATAATTTTACAATCTACTATCAGAGGTGATAGATGGCAGCATTTACGATTTTGTGACGTCACGGAAATTAAGTCTCCAGCCAGGCGCTGAACAGTTGCTGGTGAAACGCGTTAATGGCTGCCGGTGTGTATGTTGTTGGAAGTGTAGTTACGGACTCTTACCTTTGATTACATCTATGTATTTTATTTCTTCTAAGACATTCATACCCAAAACGTTTTGAAGGCTTTTTATTACAATGGACCTTCCTAAACCGCCTCAAGGTAATAATGTTATTTGTGTTGCGAGAAGACTGCATTATGTGTTGCATATTGTAATTGTATGTACGTGCTTTATGTAGCAAATGTACTTTTAAAATATAAGCTTTATTAGTAAGAGAAAATATTATGGCATTTGTATTTAGTATGGTGTACTAGAACGTATTGAAACCAGATTTGTAAAAAGTTTTCATTGCTAATGTGTTAGGGCACTTGTAATATTTAGTATATCAACATACCCCAGGGAGACTTGCATATTTTATATCTAAAAGTAATCCTGTTTTGTATGCCTTTGATACTTGTGACAAATGAACTTATATTATGAAGTACAACCTTATATTATTATCATTGGTAAGTGGAGAAATAATGCAAATTACATGTGTGTCATACGGAGAGGTCGCCAGAAAGCCTCTCTTGGCGGTAGGGGCACAAACAACTCCAGTCATATCATTCGAACCTGTGGTGTAGTCAACAGGCCAGTATCCTATAAAACTTGCAGTGTGTTTCCAATATCGCTCCAAGATATCTTTGAACGTTACCATTAATTGGGCATATGTGTTAGGCTGTCAACTACAAGTATAATCCCAAGCTTCTGTTACTGTATTAAACATTCGATCAGCCGTGTTACTTCTTGTGTCAATGCTATGTGAGAGTTGCAGACTGAAATTAGTGTTCATATACATACCCATGTGAAATGTAAGGAAGAGATTCTGGCATAAATTTGAGGATATTACAGTTCTAAATAAAAAACTATTTCCATCAAAATAAATTCAGACAGGGGCATTATTCGAAAAAAAGAAATGAATTTAATCAAAATGATGAGTGATTACTGAAGAGAAGATTTATGAATTTAGTGCTTGACTTCAACATTACCCATAAAGATCATTTAAGAGTCTACGCAGAGAAGACAGAGTTGAAAGTTCCTTGTTTCAGGTATTAAGTTTGCTCTGTTTCCAAAAAGGAATTTCACCTTGTGAATGCAAACTTTTCATGGAGGTGCAAGGAATGCATATGTAACAAGAGGGACCAATTTTGGTATCTGCTGTAGTCTGGTTGGATTTTGTGTATGCTTTATTGGTCTGTACACTTGTTGATTGTGCTGTCGGTCTGGTTATGCATGAAAAAAGTTGATTCAGTGAACATGTGCCATATCCTGGACTGGCAGAGCGATAAATGTAAGCTGTCAATGACAATTCTATATAAAATAGTTGAATACTTTATGTTATAAGTCAGCTTCCGTATTGCAACACTTTAGTATCATATGCAGATGAATGATGTGTACCTGCAACAAACAAGAACAAAAAAAAAAACTCCTCGGTTTTAGTCCGCAAGCAAGCTATACCGACCGAGCGACCACTGCTTGTCGGCGAAGTTAGTGCCAACTTTAGCAGATAGAGGGTGTCGCGTTGTCAGTGCAGTGAATCCCCATGGCCGTAAATTCGGTTTTCTAGACTGGAGCTGCTATTTCCATGAAATAACTCCTCAGTTATCCTCACGAGGCTGAGTGAACCCTGTTCCAGACATACTACTACTCAGAAAATCTGGTAGTGCCGGGAATCGAACCCAGACCTCTGGATCTGTAGCCAGGAACTCTGACCACTAGACCACAGAGGCTGTGTAACATAAGTGATGAAATTTATGCTGCAGAACAAAGAGAAGACTGAAAATGAAGAATGGTTAATAATGCTTGAAAAGTGGTTTTGTGCAGTTATCTTGTGCATGTGTACTGTGTTACAGTTTGTCTAATTGTACTTTACATTTTGAAAACTGCTATTCTCTGGAATATAATGCCTGCATTAAAGGAGTGGTGTAATTAAATGTTAAAGCAGTTGTTATTTCAATATGTTTTAACATAAATTATTCATGTTGGATTTGAAGTTCTCACAGCAATGAATGCGAAGAGTTCTGTCATCTGGGATATAATGATGTGTACTCTGGTGAAAGTCACCCGATGGTTCAGAGGAAAATGTTTCCTCCATCCTCAGGGTGAAGAGTAACCGAACAAGAAACCAGCATGAAGAAGGCAAATGGCAGAGTTGACTTTCACCAGGCTACACAATGTTATATCCTAGAAATTATCTTGATCTTTGAAGTACACTAATTACCCTTTATTCTCTCAATCAGCCTGTCCTGTTCCCCATTCCCATTGGCAGATGGAATTCTCTGTTCTCTCTCCATCCCTTGCCTCTGATTGGCCAGTTGTCTTGTGCTCCTTGGCTTGACCCATGCCACCCTTCCTATATGATGTGTCAACATTGTAGACCTCATTCAAGCCAGAAATGGAGGCTGCAGGTTCCTATGAAATATTAGTATACCCTACATGGTCTCACAGCCCAGAAGATCAAAATTGTAACATGAATGCAGAAATGCGTAAACCTGATTGTTTCATTTTTAGGAGGATGTGTGGTTCAAGCAAATGGTGTATTTGTTGAGCTATATAGTGAATTTACAATATAATGTTAAATATTCTTTCATAGTCAGGTTGTGCAAGGTTTGAATACTGGCTGGGATACCAGCTATTTTGACTGGTTTTATTTGGTTGGTGTCACTTCCTCCACATACAGGGTGATTCACAAAGTTTTACCCCGGCTTATGGTACATATTCCTGGGGTTATTTCCTGCAAAATTTCCTTATAAACTTGTGGTCGATTTTCAATAGTTACGGAGTAACAATAGATTTTCGAAACACATCATTGTGAATGCAGCGCTATGCTTCAGCGTGGGCGACCATACGTTCCAGTCAGCTATGTCAGCAGATAAGGTAGACCGGTTTGAATGTTGCATGTGGGTAGATAGGCAGAGTGGTTCATATGCGTGCGACACATTGTGTTGAAGTGCAGGGAGACATTTTCAAAAATGTTATGTAATTCCAGTCGTCTTCTAAAGCACTACAGTTTAAAGGAAACAGATTGATAGAAGGGTGTGATATGCAACCATTGGTATGTTTACAGAATGGGATGCTGAAAATAATGTAATTTTGTAACACAAAATCGACGAAAAATGTTGCACAAAGCAAAATTAAGAAATTGAAAAAAAAAATTGGTTTTAGAATGTTTCTTTCCTAAAACATTAACGATTTAAAAAGTGTTTGTATTGTATTTCTAATTTGTTTTGACTGAAATTTGAAGAAAAAAAGATTTTTCGCCAGTTTTCAAATTACTGTATCTCTTTAATTATGAGTTGGATACCATTAGTATATTAACATTTTTTGTTCTAAATTACCTCAGGAATGCCCTCCCTAAGTGGGGGTAAAACTTCGTGAATCATCCTGTATATGCCATAACAGTGACGTGAAATATAATCATTCATAATTATCCTCTCATACCTCATTCTGCATTATTTAACCTTTGTAGTTGATGCAATACCCATAAATAAGCCAAAACACAGCACTTGGATTTCTTGTTACAGAAGTGGAACTACGTAACATTATTGACAAGTTGGCCCAGTTTGTTGCTCGTAATGGACCTGAATTCGAGCAGATGACAAAAAATAAACAAAAGGGCAATCCAAAATTTGGTTTCCTCTTTGGTGGTGAACACTTCAATTATTATCAGTACAAAGTTACAACTGAACAAGCAAGTAAGTATAATTAATACATTTTTATTATGCCTGTATTTTAAAGTCAGTACTTGTTTGAAAATGGGTTGGAAATTTTGGGACGATGAAAATGATATTGAATTATAATTGTACCGTGTGTGTTTTGTTGTTTAAGAGATCCTGAGTAGAAGTTATTGCCTGTATTAATATTGTCAGAAGTTAGCGACTAGACACAATGTGTGGGTTGATAATTGGATTTATTGGACGCTTATGACTCTTAACTCTAAGGGTCTTGCTGAGTTACACACAATATATATCACTATAACTACAGCGCACACACAGTCTTTTATTTGTTCACTAGTTGTTGCTAGGTAGCGACTGCTAGCAGTGGAACTCAAGACTGAACTGGAGAAGATTTGGGTTCAAGTAAATTGCTGCTGGTCCTTGCCAGCACAGTCATTCTTTGTTATGAGTCATGGGGCCCTTCATGGCCATATTTGACCATCTCACAACTCTGGGAATCATGTATACTGACTATAGTTACTGCCTCGTAACTTTAGCTGCACGGAAAGGTAAAACACTGTTGTGGAACACACGAAGCTATACGCTTGCTCTGGTGATGTTCAGCGCTACTCCCCAAGCGGAAGACATTGCCTATGGAGACCAGGAGTAGATACCGCAGAATCAGTACAGTTCCGTGTGATTGTCGGTGTGCCATGATAGTGACATGAACACCACGTAATACAATCGCTGTGGCTGGTACCAACTAACAAGCAACACCATGTACTATACACCTGACCACACTCCAAGACGCTACATTCCAAACTGGTAGTACCCACGTTGACGTAAGCAGATAAGACTGGTCCCCCAGCCCTGCGAGAGATGGTATGACCCCTCTACCATGGCTAGAGTTCCGAGTAACTAACAGTACTGACTGCCTGATCATCACCAGCACTGTGATTCTTGGTTGCGAGTCCCATGAGACCTGTGACCATATTCTGTCTGGGAGCCTTCAGATGCCATCCACCAGACAGAAGACAGACTCCTGGCTGTTGGTCATGGCTATGTAGCGTTAGCAAGGACTAAACAGAAATCATTGCTTCCCACGGTACCTCTGTTGTTGCTTGTTATTTTTGCTGCAGAAACGTGTTTACCACACCATTGCCTAGCAACAGCTGTCTCTTCTCATTCCTCTGTTTCGGCTTTTAGCTATCACATTACAATATACTGGATTTCACCTGGTTCTATTTAGTGCCCCCCCCCCAAAAAAAACTGCAAAGGATAATGTTTGAACTGTTCAGTTAACAATGAATGTTGCTTCTTTTAACATCAGTCCTTGCTCAAGCATGCCCTTATAATCATAGCTCCACAAATTATTAACCTGGAATATTTGCGGTTGTGTTCTTGTTGCAGTCCAGTTTTGATTCATACTCCTAAAGCAATCATATTATTTTCTGCTGTTTTCCCCTCAGTTGTTGGATGCAAACTCAAATCATGGAGTCTAGCATGTTGGCTGAAGCAGTAATGCTTCTAGCTTGTATTTGAGAGGTGCCTGGTTCCAATCTTTTCTGTGATATTATCACGACTTGATTCTTTTTGGGGGGGGGCAATATTTTTGCAGCCTGTGCAGACAAATGCTGAGATAGTACCTTAAACTGGGCTATGACTGTTGTCTTCCACATCCTTTTCACTTTGTTATTCACTGTAGTCATTCAGTACTCTAGTCTGAGGAACTGACGCCATCATTAAATAAACTGCAGATAAATAAATGGATCTTGTGGATCTCTCCCCTGTTGGTACTACTTTCTGGTGCACAGGATCCTTGTATAACATTTGTCAAGAGTATAAGTTACTTTACCTGAGGCCCCACCATAGCGCTGGCTTCCCACCGTGGCGGCCCAGGTTCGATCCTGGGTCTGGTCAAATGGGATTTGTGGTGGACAAAGTGGCGCTGGGGCAGGTTTTCTTTGAGTACTTCGGTTTCCCCTGCCAATCTTCATTCCACCAATTGCTCCACAATCACTCTCACCTCTCATCTGGGGCTGGTAGAATAGGCCAGAAGTGGCCACAGTACAAGGGACTTAGTCCCACCCCACTAGCAGTAAAAAAAATACTTTACTTGAAATCAAGAAAAGTATTAAATAGGAATGATATAAAATAGGTACATTATTAAGGATATAGCTTAAGGGAAAAGAGTTTTTAATAATATGATGACATTTGTATGCCCCTTGAGCACACATTTATGTAGTGTCATCCTCTAACAGGTATCAGGTATCGGATCCTGACTGAACATGATCACCATCTCACACAGTTGTTAACTCAATAACACACCTCACAGCTGTAGCCAACAGCACAAATGACACACATTAATTTTTAAGAAAATGCTGGACTAAGGCACTAATTGGGAAAAAATAAATAAGAGAAAATAATGCATTGTATGTGTGGATCTATATGACAGGCTGTGAGCTGGATGGCTGGAGTGTGATTCCAGGCAGGAACATATTTTTGTCTTTATAATTATGTCGAGACAGACTTTCTCCTATGCAGTGGGCACTGGGAAAACTTTTCTTGAGAATACAGTGACCTGACTGTGATGGTGACCTTTGACCATCTGTTACTGAGGTTTAGAATGTGTTGGAACTTTATATTTCATCTTATGTATACACCTGTGCCATATGGTGCTTAGGCACAGGATCAGTGTAACATTTGTGTGAACATACAGCTGCAAGAACAGAAAATTAACCATAAATGCAGGAAAACCATAATTCAGAATCCAGTATATCTTGAACAAGAATAACTGGATTGTATTGTGTCATACCAGTTTTGAAACAGAAGGCAGCCCGTGACAGTGGAATGGCCTCAGCGGGTGCAGCATTAACAGCAGCAATGCCTCCAATGATGATGGGTAACACTGTAGTGTCAGCAGCTACCGGTGCTTCAGCTCCTCTGACGCTGGCTGCAGCTGCTGTTACAGCAGCCCAGTGGCTGGCTGTTGCCCAGCAGCAGCAGCAGGTGGCAGCAACTCAAAATATCACCTTAGATTCACTCATAGCTCAGCAGAACCAGCTTCAGGAACAGATACGGCAGAGTGAACAAAACCTGGCAGCGCAGCATACGGTATGGTATTAATGTTAAATCTGAGCCTCTGAAAGCAGCATTACTTTATGCATTCACAACTGGACACAAGCAAGAAATGTGAATGGTTGAGCTCGTTAAAATTTTCAATAATATCACTTCATGTTTATACATATTCATTGAGATATTAGTTTTTCTGTTTATAGTTTCAGTTCCTAATAGCTATTTCAGTGAAAACCATGGCATTTTGCTGCAGGAAAGTGTAATTTTATACAAAATGTATGCAGTGGATTAGTTAAGACAGTGAACAAGTGATATATTCTAACAATTTGTCTGTATTTGATTAAATGGGAAATAAATTTAATTTTAACACTCCCTTGGATAAAGGCAGTACAGGGAGACTTTTCACTTTGTTTGCTGGTTCCATGGCTCTGTGCTTCATGGCGGGCGATGTGTTGCTTGCTGCAAGACACATGTGAATTCTGCTGATTAATCAGCATGCCAGATGGCCGATAATCTTCAGAATGAAGGGAAGTTCTTACCTTTGTTCACAGATCACAGGAGGTGTTGAAAATGCTGTCCCTCTGCACATAGACATTACTCACATCAGTGGAAGAGGTTCTGATTTACCCTTTGAAGCCCTTCTGCATGAACGCTTGCATTTTCCTATGAATATTTTCCTTTAGTTCTTCCATTTTGGGGTTACTTTGTATACTTTGTCATTAAAACAACCCCAGAGAAAAAAAATCTCAAGAATTAAGATAAGGTGAACATCCTGGCCTATTACCACAGCTGATAATTCTGTTCCCAAAGACACTGGGCAAAACCTGTGTAGGTATATGTGCAGTGTGGGCAGTAGTTGAGTCTTGCTGATACCAGGTATAGAGTCTTTCTTCTGTTAACTGTGGAAAGAATTGCCCGAGAATGACCCGTTCATGTCTTTCAAAATTGTTTTTTTTAAAGACGCAGGTCTACCACTCCTTGCACTTACAGCACACCAGGCACCAACTTCCACTGAATGGAGCAGGACTTCATAGGTTAGATGTTGATTATATGAATGCAAGTAGTGATTTTTTTTGCATGTTTATGTATTTCTGCAAGTGCAACTGTGCTTCTTCAGAATAAAATATCAGTTGTGAATCGATCTCCCCTTCGATGACAGACTGTAGAAACAAAATACAAAAATGAATGCTGCCAGTTAGATGGTGCGGCTGCAAGGTGTGCTTGTATTACTGTTGTTTTATATGGTCTAAACTTCAGCAGTTGTATTGCAGTTTTTGCACTAGACTTTAATGCTCCAGTCTCTTGAGCTGGGTGTTTCAGTGAATTTCTAGGTGTGTGTTCAAGTGTGGCCCTTGTGGCATCTAACTTCTCCTCAGTAAGCAGTTGGTGCTTATGCTTTTGTTTCTTGCCTATTAAGAGTTCTCTTGTTCCAAATTTATTCGCCAAATTGTGAATTGTTTCTCTGCAGGGAGCTCTGTCAACACAAAATTTACACCTAAATGTCTGCTGACAATTTCTAGTAGATCTGTATTCCACATAGGTATCATACAGAAATACACGTTGCTCTAAAATATATGCAGCATGATGTACCACACTGCTCACTATCTGTAACTGAAAACAAATGGCTAATGGAAGCTGATAACTGCTGCCTACTGCTGATAGATCATAAACTCCCATGCATGAACCACACTGCTCTCTGTGAAACATAATATTGTCAAGTGGTCCACAAATTAATTACTTCCCTTCATTCCAAACATTATTGGTCATCAGGCATGCTGATTCATCAGCAAAATTCATATGTGCCTTGCAGCAGGTGGCACTCCACTCTCTGTGAAGCATGGAGCCATGAACTGGTCAGCACTGTTAAAAAGAAAACTCTCTGTGTTTGACATACAGAATGTGATCCCATTTAAATCTCTATGGCAGTGAATGTGCAAACTGCTGGAGTGATTTTTACATATTTAGTATGCAGTAAATAAAATTTCAAAGAAGTACAGTTTTTGAGAGTATACTGGGACACTTGATTTGTTTCATTTCATTACTATTGCAGGTCCTATTGCAGCAGCAACAAGGACAGATAGAGGATAGTCTGCGGAAAGCACAACAGGATGCCCTACAGCAAGCTGCTGATGAGGCTGGTATAAGTTTTACAGAGTTAGATTCTGTACTACAGCCAATTATAGATTCGTGCACCAAAGATTCTATTTCATCAGGTAAAGGATGGATTTTGCAGCGTTCATCTTCACCGAAAGCAGATCAAGTATTGGCACAGTATCTCCTCAAGAAGTAAGCATCATTTATGCCAAGTGAATTATAATGGAGGAATGTCTGTTAGTAGTGATCACAAATTATCTTTACAACTATTGTGTAAAGTAAAAGAATACAGAAATGAGATACATATAGAGGATTTGCTTGATATGCTGCCTTAGGGGAAGAACATAGAATGGTGATATTTGAGAACGGTGCTGAGTACAGTGTGTGGACTAAAGAGAGAGATTATAAAAGGAAGGTGGAGAAAAGAGCATAATGAGGAGCTTCATAATCTGTACTCTTAATGAAGTATTATTTATGTGATAGATCAAGGAGAAGAGGTGTGTAAAAGTGTTCTTCAAGCACATAGTATACCCCCTACTGCTATTCATAGGTGGAACATTAAAGGAGCTTTGCTAATAAAGGAATCTCTAATATATGCTTCTCATTTTTCAATGTTCAGCATAATACTTTGTTGCCTGTTAGACTAGCTCTTGTATAAAGTGAAAAAAAGGAAACCCTGAATGAGCATTGTTCTGTATTTCAACATAAATTAACAGAAGTATATAGACAGTTCATAATTTTGTACAACTTATTGCTGTACAGGATATCCCTGTGTACTGGCAGATTTTGGTTCTTGGATTCTGTCAGTATTTTTCATCACAGGAAGTTTCCATGGTTAAAATGTTTGGAAAGCATTGGAACAGAGTTATTTTAAAAACTGTATCTCATTTTAAATACCTAATTTAAAATCAGTGTATTTTATTAATTACAGATAGATTTTACTGGAGCATTTAGGATTTCATACTGAATGTTTTCTTTATGTGCATGAATGTGTGTTAACATTTCTCTTGTCACAACAACTATTTACTTTTCTAGAGTGATTAGTCCTGGAGCACCCTTTACACAGAAGCTGCATATAATCTACTTGGTCAATGATGTTTTGCATCACTGGTGAGTTCAGAAACTGGCATGAATTTTGTTAGCAGTGTGCTTTTTCTCAAGAATTATGTGATTCATATATGTACTTTATTAACTTGCTATATGTAACATGGTGCACTGCTTTGTTATGATGCGTATTTTTGGGACACCTTCTTTAAGTTTTAAAATTTATGAGAGACTAGTAAGGTGATATGAATTGCATTTCTAAATATACTAACATAAAAGACAAAGACATGCTAAGGAGGCACCAGGTTCTATTGAATAATAAATTAGCTGGAATCACATTTATCATTAAAGAAATTTACTTTTGCCACATTCAGATTTAAATAGCATTTTGATGTGTAAAAGAACATTTGAGTGGGTTCTGAGCATATTTAACATAAATCTTGTGATTGATATAGTGGATGGTAACACCTTAGAATAGTTATTTCCAATACTCTTGTGTTATTATTCATGAAAATATCTGATGACCATGTTTAGAATGTGACCTCTTTAATGCCCGGGTGAGTAAGTCATCAGCCTATCCCATGCTTCCAATCATTTTAACCCAGGAGCAAGATTTGCAAACGTAACTTCCACCACACCTTGCAAATCAATATTTCAGTGACACTTCTTATATGTTTATGTGTTGTGTAAACTATTCTGTATTGATTGATGTGTATTGTAAATGCTGTCTGCTAGTGGTGACATAGACTACAAGAACAAGTGCTTAACCCCAAGTACGTATATTGGAAATTTCTGTTTTGGGGAACTTTGAGAGGGAAAAGTCACATAGAAAGTTTCTTACAGTGATTTTGAATGTATTTAAACACATTGCCTTAATAAGTATCTGAATTCCACTGTGCATTAGTACAATGAAGAGCATCCCTTTGATCTTTCTAGTTATGAACATTTCACTCATATTGTATGAATTCATGATCTGAATCATCTTTTCTTTAAATTAGTTTGAGTTGTTCTAGTAATTTTTCAACAGCATGTAACATAGTAATGTAAATAATAACAGAAGTAAAATTGTAATATTTATCCTGTTCATCAGAAATAATATGGTGTATGGAGGAATTTCTCTTCACACAGTCCCACAGTACTGTTGTACTGAACCAGAACCCATATTGTCACATTATGCATTGCAAGAATGAGAGATTGTGGGTTTTATACCCTTCTGTAATTTATGGAGGAAAGGGAGATAAGAACTATCAAGGAATAACATTAATTTGCCATTATCTAAATATGTATGCCAGAACTGAATACAGAAAATGTAACTTGAATTTAGGGAAAGAATAATAATTTTGGTCTATATTTGGCACTCAAGTATTGTGAATTCTGATGGTAGTTTGAAAAAAAGAACATGTTCTGCTCTCATAGAAGAAGCACATAGCAGTAGAGGCAGAAAAGTTAACAGTTTAATAGTACTTATCAAACACTTCTGTTGAATGATCAATTCTCCTAAATCGTGACAATGTTTAGGAAATCCTGGTTCAAATCATCCTACAGGCTGGCTGTCCATTATTTTTTTTTTGGTGATTTCCACTAGTCCCTTGCAGCAAATCCTAGGATACTACCTCAAAAAGGCAGTGACTGATTCCTTCCACATTATTTGGAGTTCATCATCCAGTCATCCTCTATTTTGTCGCCATATAACTTATGCAGTTGAGAAAGCCATGTTAAATGAACTTGCTTTTAGCTCAGAGAAGATATTTTGTTTGTGTTATTAAACGCTTAAATATTTCATTATTTAAATCAGCCAAGGTCAGAGTGTAATTGTTGTGTAAAAATGTACAGTGCAAGGAAGAATGCAGAGGACCTGAAGAAGGCCCTGGAGGAAGTTGTGGTCCCAATGTTCTGCAATACCTCTATTGGCATTACAGATGAGCAGCAAACCAAACTCAATAAGGTATTGTATAGCTTGCACACTATTTTAGAGAATCAGGTTTGTTGTGAATTATGGTGATTTTAACACCGAGTTAATGATATGTTGGCATATAGACCCCTAGCTAGGCAAGAGCTGTGAAAAAAATAATGAGAGAATTGCCATTTTTAGGCAACAGCATCATAAATATGCAACAGTACTGGAGCTGTTGCTAGTTCGTGGCCCACATGCAACCGTGAAAATACTGTTGGAAGCTGTGTTTTGTATTGGTCTGCTCCAAGGGTAAATCTATTGACCGACTAAGTTGAGGTAGTTAGTACAGAATAGTGCAGTGGAGTGGAGCAGGTTTTTTGGTGAGTGAGTTAGTGAACTGCTGAATTTCAGTCCTTATGAGTTTCTGTTAGAAGCTGGTAGCTGGGGCACAGGGTCAATTTGGGAACCCAAAGAAGAACATCCACCATTAGAAGCCATTACCAGAAAACTGGTGAAGACACAGCAGACTGAGAAGTCTTAGTCCATGCTGTAGTGAACTGCTGAGTGTGAATTAGCAGTAGTGATATAGTTACTTGTAGTTGTGACCTCTAAGGGTTCAGTAAATCCAATTATCAATCCAAACCCTGTCTGTAATCACACTCTCTCTCATGACAACTGGTGTCAGAAGTGAGATTGGATTGATCAAATTGTTGGATTGAAGACTGCAGTAGGTAGCTATATCATCATTTCAAATGATGGAATGCCTGCTGGCCAAGGTAGAAGCCAATCAGGAAAGGCTGGAAGCATAAATGAAAACCAACCAAGGAAGGATGGAATCCAAGATAGAGGCCAGTAATGAGAATTTGAGGTCCTAGAGGCCAATAATGAGAAGTTTCAGGTCCTTTGAGGTACTCTCATCTGGCTGGATATCGACCAAGCCATGACAAAGGCCGTTCAAGAAGAAATAATAGCCAAGAGGGACATCCATCACGAAAGAATGGGAGCCCTTATGAATGCCTGACTAAAAGAGATGATGGCCTGCCAAGAAATGATGGAGACCAATCTAGAAAAGGCGAAGACAAACCAAGAGAAGATTAAGGCTGGCCTGGAAGAAATGGAGGCCATGGTGGTTATCTGCAAAGAAAGGTGGAACAGAATGGACAGCATGGATTTAGAGGCTAGTTGAGAAAAATTGGAGGCCATGGTGGATCAGCAAGATGCCACGGTGGAAACTGTTAGAACACCAGTGCACCTTATGGGGACTGGCATCTGTAGAATACTGTCAACAGCCGAAGAAATGGACACAGTGCAGTGGTAGGTCTCAGCAGAAATTGGTTGCTGCTGGAGGATGGTTGACCTGCTGTGCCATTTCTGCACCACATGGGGGTCATGGGCCTCGGGGACCTGGCAGGGACAGTGTTGTACGAAGAACCCATAAAGGATGAATGTTTGGAAAGAGATGTAGGGTGCAACCAGAATGCAACAGCAGTGGAAGGTGCCGAGGCCTAAAAGGGTAGCTAATGTGAGAAGTAAGAGGGCATTGAACAAGATTGTCAGTCAGACTTTCAGACTGGAGGTCATGAAATGAGTCGACGGGGTTTCCATCAGATTCTGGGAAATGAATGACTGGACATTTTGGAGGGGTCCCCCCCCCCCTCCGAAAGGGAAGGAGAGAGCAGCTTAAGAGTCAGAGATTGAGCATTGACCACTCTTGGAACTTTTGTTCACATTTACCAGAGAAGAACCCTAGATTGAGGTTGATGGTGGTACACCTGGACTGGCTCACACTTTATCGGGGAGCTGCTTGGGACGAGCGACCTTGAGGAGGGAACAGTTGGAGAGTAATCACCATGAGAACCGATCCACAAGGAAAGAAGGCAAGACCGCTCACAGATGTCACAAGCACAGCCCTCAGGAAAAGAAGAAATGGCGGTACACCTATAGACTATTCAAGATGAATAGCTGTAAGGAGGGAGCAGTGTGACATATAGACCCATTGCTAGGCAACAACCGTGAAACAAATAAGAGCGGCCATTGCTGGGAAACAGCATAAGTACTCAGCAGTATTGGAGCTGTTGCTAGGATGCGGCCTGCATGCAAAAGTGGAAGTACTGTTGGAAGCCGTGTTTTCAGTAGGTCTGCTCCGAGGCTGTATTACTCAACTGACCAAGTTGAGATAGCTAGCACAGTGGAGTGGAGAAAGTTCATTGGTGAGTGAGTTAGTGAGAGGACTGCTGTGTTTCAGTCCTTGCAAGCTGTTGCTGTTAGAAGCTGGTAGCTGAGGCACAGGGACAGTTTGGGAACCCAGAGGAAGGGGAATTACCAGAAAACTGGGGAAGACACAGCAGACTGAGAAATTGAGTATGTTCTGTAGTGAACTACTGGGTGTGTAAATTAGCAGTAGTGCTGTTACTTGTGGTTAAGATCTCCAAGAGTTGAATAAATCCAATTACCAGTCCAAACCCCATCTGTAATCACATTCTGTTATGTGACAGTATATTTTACAGCAGTGTGACTATTTCTTTCCTGGATCCATATTAGATTTATGGTATTTTTATGTCATTGCTGTTGAGAAAATGGGAGAACACTGACATTGGAAGGAGAAAGAGCTACCACATATGAGGTAAAGAGTTAATAAATGCTATGTTACGTGTTGTCGTTATGGCAAGTTCTTTATGTGGAGCATTGTTTTTCTATACTCGTGTGGAAACATTAAAAAATTACTATGTTTAATTCCAGTTTTGTCGACCACATCACAACTTCGGTTGAATTTAGAAGTCTTTCTGTTCAAACTGTGTCATTTGTCTTAGGAAAATATGTAAGGTTGTTATTGACATGACTGTTAGTACCAAATTTATCACATCAAATCTGTAGTTTCCTTATACAAGCTCCCTTTTTAATATAATTGTGAGCTAGCATAACTTGCACAGTAAACTCCTGGTTGTTAAGTATGTAAGCATTGAGGATTCTCTTCCAACTGGCAGATATTTACCATTTTTATAAAGTTATTAAAGTTGATAAACTGGGCTCAGTCGCCTTCCAGCCCTATGTCGGGGCTATATTCAACTGAATCAGCAGAGTGCTCTCCTGGCACAACATGAAATCAGTGGGCCTGCCTCCAAATAAATTATCTAATTTCCTCCGGCCGGTCAAAGATAGCCTGGGACTAAGGACACCAGGTGAACTAATGGGTGGTGGGACTACTTAACAAGACACTCACCTTAAAGGACACCTCTTCAAACTGGGACTAAGTGATAGTCCCACTTTTGAGAGGTGTCAAGAAGAAAATGGAACAGCCACACATATCCTGTGTGAATGTGAGGCCTTAGCTTATTTAAGATTATGTCAATTGGGTCAATACTTTATGGAACCAAGTGACTATTTTGACGCCCCTATGTACAAAATCCTGTGCTTAATTCGAAGTGCAGGATTGCTGAAGGGATAATCAAAGGAGGAAGCACAATAGACCACTGTAGGTCGCAGTGCAAGGGCCGAGAAGGTCCACCCCTTATACATTCATTCATTCGTTCATTCAAGGACACCAGGTATACAGTATCTCATGTGAGTGCAGCAAGGTCTATATTGGGCAGACAGGCCATTCCATGGACATGAGGTTGAAAGATCATCAGTGGCACATCTATCTCGAACATCCAGACAAGTCCGCTGTGGCTGAACACAGCATCAGTTTGGGATCCCACATTCAGCTTCAGAATACCTCCATTCTCGCCACCAAGACCCATTATATGGATTGCATCATTAGGGAGGCTATTAAGATTGAACTCTATCACGACAATATGAACAGAGAGGGGGGTTTTTGTCTCAGCAAGTCATGGAAGCCTCTCATCTGTTCCCTCAAGAAACTGACAGGACATGACGCCAGATCCACAAGGCCACACAAGTCCATGCCTGACTCTCATAGCAACCCTGAAGCTTAAGGGTTAATGCTCTCCCATTAGCCTTGCCTTTCTCCCCCGACACAATATTCTGTACCTGCTCTGGCCTGCTTCCCTAGACCCTTCCCCTCTCCTCTCTACTGATTTCACATGTAGCCTCTCTCCCTTCTCTTCCTGCTATTATACAACTGGGATTGTTCTCGACTATAGTCTATTTGCACCTCCTCACAATGGTTCTTCGCTTGTGGATTTTTTCCTTTTTTCTTCTACCCTGAAGATGAAGGCGATACATTCCTCTGAAACATCGGTTTACACAATATCTACACAGTGCCATATCCCAGGAAACTGCTCTCTTCTATTAAGAACAAATTTGTAATGTGCATATCGTCTGAGCCACCACAAGGAGCATTATCTATTGTCCACCCTCATGTAGATGCCATTACAGTATATGTGCCCTAAATCTTATGTTGTCTGGAAAGACTCCCAAGCCAAAACTTGAGCAAAAATGTGTTTTTTTGACTTTGTGTTGGGTTTCTGTAAGAGTATTTCTCTACATACCACATAATGGAGTTCATGGTAGTTTGAAATTGATCGTAGATGATCTACACATACTTCTGCTATAGAGGCTTCTTTTATGGCAGGTTATTCTAAACACTTTGCTCCAGACATGGCTGAATGATACATCCTAAATATACATGAGTCATCTTTTGAAGAAGTTGCAGTCTGTTGAACTTTTTATCACATAGCCTGGGGAATTGTACTTGATGTTGGAGTAACAGTTTAAGATACCATCTGTAACAATGTGGATTTTCTGTGATTGAAAGTAATTCTAGTCCTCTGTGGCCCCCCCCCCAGCCTGTATTCTGAGTTTTCTCATGGTCACAGAAATGTTATAAATCTTGTATGGTTATTCTAAAATTAGATATCCACCAGTTTGTCTAGCATATCCTTCTTCCATCTTACAGTTACTGAATTTGTGGGAGTCAAAAAACAACTATTTTGATGCTTCAGTAGTTGAGAAATTGAAGAATCCATCCCGGTCATGGTCAGAATATCAGGCTTCACTCATTACCCAGCATGCTGCTGTGATCACACCCATTACAACAACTACAAAACAGACATATGAAGGGTATCAGGCACAGCATCAAGCATTTGTCCAGCATGCAATGCAGCAGATTCAAACATTGGAGCAGCAGAAACAGCAATTAGAGCAACAGCAGCAACAGGCAGTTGGCACTGTAGCTGTGAATCCTCCTGCTCCAGGTAAGAACAAAGAGCCATCAAAACCATGTAGTATATATGAAATTGCATTTGTCATTTAATCCTTTGGTCCTTTGTCAAGAAAATTTCGGATTTTTCTTGTGTGTTTGCCAAAACTAAACATCTTCCTGTTTTTATAAATGTCATGAAACGGTGTAAGAAATAGAACAAGTGTAATATTTTCTGTTTGTTTGTGAAGATTTTGATATGTGACATTTGAGAGCTAGAGTAGGTATTTCCTCTTTAAGTTCACCATGTCATGAAATTAATGCAACATGACTCTGCTTTTCTTTTCCTTCATCAGGTATTTTACCATGTACCATAGCTTCCTGACATTCACCAACCATCTTTGTAATTGATTTGCCATGTCTGTATGTGGCATGAAAGGTTTCTTCCTCTAAAATTATATTTGCCATTACTCAGGCCCTGCACAATTATGAACTCCTTTTTCTTGTTTTTGTGGTTTTGTACCACAGTTTGGACATGGCTTCAAACCTATGTGTCTGTAAAGGAGTACTCAAAAATGAAGGTTAAATAAACCTAGATGCAGGCTATATCCAAGTATACTGACACTGCTCGTGAAGGTGTCCGTGTGGCATACACACTCCAGCAGCCAAGTTGGTTTTTTTGTGCTGTTTTGACATACTGCCACTAATGAGTGCTGCAGTCCTCAAGTCACTTGAAGCCATGAGTTACTATTCCCAGGTGGGGGAACTGGAATCATATGTTTAAACTTTGAATGAGAGTTTGCACAAAATTAGTAATGGTAATGGAGTTAGAGTAGCAAACTTTGCCACATCCAGAAATCTGACTCTTAGAAGTACAGTGTGGATAATCTGAACAACATAAGGCGTGAATCTAGCAGCATTGCTTGAATAAAAAGGAGAAGTATCTGGAAGACAAAATTAATGAGCTTTCAATGAACAGCAAGAACAAGGACAATAGAAACCTGCATAGAGGAATGAATAAATTTAAGAGGGGTTACCAACTTAGAAGTAACTTAGTGAAGGATGAAAATGGTGATATACTTGCACATTCCCACAACATTTTGAATAGGTGGAAGAACTACTTTCCTCAGTTATTGAATGTACATGGAGTCATTGTTGTTAGGCAGATAGATATACATACAGTTGCGCCATTAATACCTGACCCTAGTCATTTTGAGTTTGCAGTTGCTGTTGCAAAGTTAAAGTGGTATAAATCACCAGGTAGTGATCTACATACAGTTGCGCCATTAATACCTGACCCTAGTCATTTTGAGTTTGCAGTTGCTGTTGCAAAGTTAAAGTGGTATAAATCACCAGGTAGTGATCTACATACAGTTGCGCCATTAATACCTGACCCTAGTCATTTTGAGTTTGCAGTTGCTGTTGCAAAGTTAAAGTGGTATAAATCACCAGGTAGTGATCAATTTTCGGCTGAACTGATTCAAGCAGGGGGAGAAACATTACAGTTTGAGATCCATGAACTGATTTATTCTGTTAGGTATAATGAAGAATTGCCTTATCAGTGGAAGGAGTCTATTACTGTACCAATTTCCAAGTAGGGTGGTAAAACTAACTAGTAATTATTGTGGAATATCACTGCTATAAACTTCATACAAAATTTTATCCAATATCCTTCTCTCAGTGTTAAGCCCATATATAGATGAAATTATTTGGGATCATCGGTGTGGGTTTCAATGTAACAGATCAAATACTGGTTAGATTTTTTCTTGTATTCTTCAGATGCTGGAGAAAGAATGGGAGTACAATGAGACAATACATCAGTTATTCATAGACTTCAAGAAAGCCTGTGATTCAGTTAGGGGGGAAGTATTGTACAGTATTCTCATAGAGTTGGGGGTACCCATGAAATTAATTAGACTGATTAAAATGTGTTTAAATGAAACGTGTAGTAAAGTCTGTATGGGTAAACATTTGTCTGATAATTTTCCAATCCAGAATGGTCTAAGACGAGATGCTTTGTCACCACTCCTCTTCAACTCTACTTTAGAATATGCCATTACGAAGGTCCAGGAAAACCAGATGGGACTGAAATGAAATGGGACACAGCTGGTGGTCTATGCTGATCATATCAATATACAGGGAGATAACATACTCTTTGATTGACCCTAGTAAGGAGGTTGGGTAAGAAGTAAACAGGGAAAACTAAGTATATGTTCCTGTCAGGTCACCAGAATGCAAGGAAAAATCATGGCATGAAGATAGCTAGGATAGGATTATGGTGGGAAAGCCAGAAGGAGAAACACCAATAGGAAGACAAAAGATGTAGGTGGGTGAATAATATTAAAATGGATCTTCAAGAGATAGGATGGTGTGGTATAGACTAGACCGATCTTTCTCAGGATAGGGACCAGTGGTAGACTCTTGTGAACACTGTATTGAACCTTTGGATTCCATAAAATGCTACACAACTGGCAGCTTCTTGAGAACTACTAGCTGTATGAAGTTAGTTCTTCTGTCTTAATGAGAGCTCTTATTATTTCATGCTAATAGGTGCAGAAGGAAATGTTTTGTTCTCACTGTAGTCAATTGTTAGGGGACACATTTTACTTTTGAGAATGTAGAGTAATCAGTAATGTAATACAGCCACTACAGGTGAAACAGTCAGGTGCCCTTTCATTTAGGTTTTATGAACTCAGATTCTTCTTCATTTTCACGAGTGGTTCATCAAACAAAAACAGGTTAGGTTCATTTATCTGCAACATTAGAAATTTTGTGATTGACAAAATATATGTAATACAAATAGTGGATATTTTAAGATAAATTTATTACCTTAGAATAGCATAAATGTAGGCTTTAAGATGTCTTATCAGGTATCACTTATTTATACCATTTTAATTATATATAAAGAATTCACAGACCCCCACCTGCCAAATGCTTTTCATTGTTTTGAAAGCAGGCTTGTTGTCGATTAACAATGTAAAGGGGGAGAAGAAGACCCACCAAATTATGAAGGAATGCAATTTATAGGCTGGCTACCATGATTGAGATCTTTAGAGGATTTCTTCATTCTCTCCAGGCAAATGTTTGGATTAGATCTCAAAATAGGCCGTGATTCATCTTAATTGAGAATAATAAAGCTACCTATAATTTATCACTTAACAGTATCTGCTGTTAGGGATAAATAAGTAGCATAAGAAGATACAGAACAGCTCTAAATTTGACCATTTCTCTTGTTGATTTTTGTGTTCATTAGAACCTCAGAGTCTGCCCCCTGCTCACCTTCAGCCACAACAATCACAGCAGCAACCGCAGCCACCACCAGCGTTGGCAGTGCTCTCAGCCACACAACAGCCTCCTCCTCCACCTCCACCACATCAGAATGAAGTAGGTCTTCCTCAGCATGTACCTCCATCATGTCCACCACAACATGGTCCCCCACCAGGTCCTCCTCAACATGGTCCTCCACCAGGACCTCCTCAACATGGACCTCCAGTACCCCCAAGTCATGGGCCTCCAGACATTAATTTCAGTCAACCTCCCCCAGGATATCTTCCAGCATTTCCGCCAGGTAAGATTTGCCATTCATAGTCTGCTGTTAAGCAGAACTATTTATGATTGGCTCTTTAGGTATCATACTTTATATTCTGGAGAACTGGGTTTGGTGCTTTGTCCAGGTGCCTGCCTTCCTGATGGAGGATTTTTATAGCTCTTCTCAGTACTAGTACCTTAAAATATGCTATAACTGCTGCTTCCCTTCCTTCTCCTTTCCACTTCATCCCATTTGACCTCTTTGACACTATGTTAACCTATGAAATGGAGAAAATGTCGTGAAATAAACTAAAACAGACAGCAAAATGTAAATAGCAGGACCTTTGCACTTATGCCAACAGAGTAGTAACTTCATCATATTGGCTCTTTTACTAAGTAGCAAGTGGGGGGGGGGCAAAAATTAAGGAAGAAAGAAAGAAGGGATAAAAATTGCTTTAAGGGCTACAAGTCTCATCATCATATTTATAACCTATGTGTCATCTTAGTTGAAGCTGTTAAATCAGGTTTAAATGTATGAACTTGTTAAATTCTTAGGTCTGGAACTTCCTGATCTGAGTAAGCCACCTCCAGGATTTCCATTACCCCCAGTGAATAATCAGGTACCTCCTGAAGTTTCAATGGATGAATTGATGCCTAGTGTTCCATACTTTGAACTTCCTGCAGGACTCATGGTACCACTCATTAAGGTAAGTTAAAAGTAAAGTTATTGCTTTGCCTAAGCGCTGTGCTATGGGTGCATAATTCTTTTCTTACCATTCATGAGAAATATAGAAATTTCTGCATATATCCATTGGCTTATTCCATAGCCTATGGTCATTTTTGACTGAATCTGATGTATGTATGATATTACTGGTTCTTGGTGGAATGTGAATCTGTGCAAGTCACTTCTTTTATAATGCTGTTTACAGTTACTAAGTATATGCATATAAAATCATGCAAATGTATATACCACACTTTATTGAATACCCATGTCACTGAATATGCTGTAAACCCCAGTTTGTAATATACTGAAAGTACAGAAAGTTAATACAGATTTATTAAAATATAAAAATATAAGGTGTAAGTGTGCACAGAATATAGCTTCTTGATACCTGGGCTAGATGTTCTTCATGTGTTTGTGCTACAGCCTTCTATTAGCCAGGATCTGAAGTCCTTACAATGAGACATGTTTGTTTTTAATACACAGATTGTTTATTGAGATGAAAAACCACCATCAAACCTCAATTGATGCCACACATCTAAATTGCCAGTTCCCACATATTCACAGTGCCTTCTATTTTGGAAGCCAATATTATGTCTTCGACCAGCAGCACGATTTAGAGTTTATTCTGCAAGGGGAGTGCAGGTATAGCTCCACAAATTATTAACCTTGGCACTAACTGGAGGTGAACGATAAATTTTGTGCCCTTGCTGCCTAACCCCCGGGAAAAGAGCTCCTGGTATCCTTAGATAGGAAACATGATATGCCTCAGAGCCAGTCTGAATCCTGTGGAATAGAGAAACATCTCTTGCCCATGCCAGGAATCAGACCCCAATTCTGCAACTGCCCTGCCCATAGCGAGCCACTATGTGGACTGAACTATCCTACCTCCGTTCATACTCAGCACTCAAGAATTTATCCATCCTAAACAGTGCCAAGTGAATCTGAAAATTCAAGCTCCACAAATAATGACCTACCGGATGAACTGAAGAAAATGAAAGGGTGATTTACTCAAAATTGGTTCTAACAGTTTGATGAAATCTCTATTGTATTGATACTGTATCCGTGAATAAAACTGTATAGGTGGTATCTTCAGGAAAATAACAGTAAAGGCACTGTGCTCCCAAGCACAAAATGCCAGTTCTCTCGAAACTGGCTTCACCTGTCAGACAGATTTCTTTGTAACCAAGTAACATTTGGTTTTGTTTCCGGTGTAACACAGTCAAGGTCAAGTATGTGCAGTGTATTCACACCAATATATTCACTTCACCTTTCTTGTATACTAGAAGAGAATAACAGCTGCCAGTTCACCAAAAAATTTGGCGTGTAGGTGAAGATGCATCCTTGCAGTCTTGTTTTGTCTATTTCCAGAACCTTGTTAAAATGTATTTTACATACACATATTGGTGTTGATATTTGCAGATTGCTCAATGCTCCTGTAATCTTAAATCTCAAATATATTCAGATTATCTATATAATATGCCAGTTTAATATCTACCTAATTACTTTTGGTGACCTTGAGTTTGTGCATTATTATTGTGGTTACAGCTGGAGGATGGGGAATACAAGCCATTGGATCCAGATAATATCAGACTTCCTCCTCCTGCCCCACCCAGTGAGAGACTGTTAGCAGCTGTAGAGGCATTCTATGCTCCACCCTGCCATGACCGGCCCAGAGATAGGTAGGTCGATTTCTATCAAAGTGATGTGATGGATGTTTCTTGCACATTTGGTATTTATTGGTATTCTGAAGGGAAAAGAAAAGGAAAGATGTGCAGCAGAATAATGTCCTTTGTCATAAGACATGTTTTATGCATTACTTATTTAAATTTAAGCTGTGTTTTACAAGTAATATCACAAGCATGTGAATGAAAGATGGGTATGATTGGACTCCAGTGCTGTGCAAAACATAAACTAAATAATTTAATGAAAAAATGCCAAGAAATTGTGTATAACATTTAAAAATGTTACATTGTTTACTGTAAAGGATGAGCATAGTCTTCATGAGATAGAATCCTGTATTTGGACACAGTAATGTCATAAGATATCAGACTTCATTTTTACCATGACACTAACGACGGCACTCTTAATTGATTATTTTGCAAATGTATTGTGGGTCACTGCTTAAATTACATGATACAAAATTTTGGCATTATAGGTTTGTTATTAGAGCACCTTGATATTCAGAATTTTTATTCAGCAGAGTTGATCATGAAGATACACTAAGTGAACTTTCTATATATTCGTTTCACAGTTCCATAAAATGAGTTTCAATAATAAAAACATGGTTATTTGTTTATATAAATAAGTGGTTCTAAGTGAAAAATATTCAGTTACAAATTAGCAGAGAAAATTCATCAGAATTCTCTACTGTTTGAAGTTTTTAATTTGTTAAATTAGTCATAAATACATCTTAAGGAGCTTTGCTTCTGTTACCCTGAAATGTTTGTGAATTTTGGGTTTAGTGTAAGATTTATTGTCATAAATTTATAAAGGGAGTTGGGTGATTGAAGAAAACCACTTTTTTTTTTATTGGCAAATTTTATCGCTTCACTGTTGCATTGACATGTGACTGTTGTCCCTCTGCATGAGGTATATTTAGATTTTTAGATATATTACCAAAGTTTATATTTGATGGTCATCCACAAGTGAAATACTGAGAATGAAAGTGTGAAATTAAAGTAATTATTTAATAATATACAATTTTCAGGTTGGTTATTGGTAGTAATCATTTTATTGAGACAAGTAAAAATAAAAGGGAGTCATATAACTAATGCATGAAAGTTCTTCTGGCAGTAACAACTTTATCAGTTATAGGCTGTGTAGTGTTGTTTTTAGATAAGGTCAGTGTGAACTGCAAGGTTTCATAATAGCAAGTAATGTAATGAATGATGAACTTCTTTTGCGCATCATGTACACTGACTTACTCAGGCGGATTGTTGACAGTGAAGGCTGGGAGAAGCTGGGACTCTATGAATATTACCGAGCAAAGAATGCTGCCAGGAAGAAAAAAGATGATGATATTCTCGAGGGTATAAGAGAACGTTCCAAGTCACCATCACCAATTATACGTTTTAGATCAAGAAGCCGTTCACCACCTAAAAAGCGATATCGCAGGTATCGTAGTTTTGTTATGTACTAGGATATATAACTTCTTTTAAAATTTTCAGTAATACAGATTTCCAAATAACTGGAGTTGAAGGTCTAGTTTATATTGAAGTTTATTCTGATGATGACATTATGATGGCAGTGGTTGTGTTGTAAGTACCAAGAATATCCGTGAAATATTCTTGGGGATAAAGGGCGGCTGGCGTGTAATGCTGACAGCCTTACCAATTATCTAGAAAATGTGTAAACCTCAACATCTTACAGCCCTATGGGCCTCCACGCTCTGTTACAGGGAAACCTTTGCTTTACTTTACTTGTTTACTGGTGAAACTATTACATAAAAGCTTCCACATGTTTTAATCAGTGGTAAATAAAATGGAAGACAAGAAATTTACAGGCCAAAGATTCTTGTTACTGTAATGAAGTTCTTTTTACAAGCCGTACTTATTCTGTAACTTTTTGGGTGTTCATATTTCCCATATTGCTGAATTAGAATGTACTTACAGTTTTATAGGTTTATTTCACATTTTTATGAACTAGTAGGAAATCGATGTATTAAGTAATGGTTCTTTTATGATATTGTTTGTTTGCATCTAAAACATACAAAGTTAGAGGGGCTCATATTCAGTATTTAATTTTATTTGCTGTTTAGTATGATTGACTACATACGTACAATGATTTTGAGTGTGCTGTAATTGGCTCACCTATTCTCTGACTTGAATTTTCACTGAAACATGAAATTTGAATTTAATTGTATGTCCTAAAGTTTTGTTTATGCATCTTTTTCAGGAGTTCAGGCACGTTTGTTTTCAAGGCAGTTGTCACATGTTTTGTTTTATTTTGTTTCAGCAAATCACGTAGTCGTAGTCGTTCCAATTCGAAGACTCGGTCTAAATCAAAATCAAGATCTCGCTCTAGAACACCACCATCAGCTCTGAAACATTATAACAATAACAGGACAAACAGTTCCAACAACAATAATAGCAGTGCTAGTAACAACAGTAATAATAACAGTAACAACAATAGTAATAGAAGATCTCCTACAAGAAGACAAAACCGATCATATAAGCCACATTCAAGGTAAAGAACATTATTATATTTAAGCATCCTGTTGCACTCTACACGATAAATGATACAAACTCCGTCCTAAGTGCAAACAATATATATTTATATGTCTTTGATCTTGTTCTTTCTACACTACATGTTTCGGCCTCTATCGGCCATCATCAGGTGTATACTCTTAACGTTGCTGCCACACTGAACCCAGTCTAAAACTTAACATTTAAAAACACAATGTCACATTCTTCGTATTATCAACATCTACATCGTTGATATGTGTCTGGTATGTAGATTATGTTGCACACGTCAAACCCGATATT